TATTGTTAAGCTCATGTGGCAGCGGCTGAAGTCTTGCGCGACGGAAAGGGGGTGAGAAATCTGCTGAGGGTCTCAACAGAAGAGAAACACGTTAGGAAATTACGAAACGATAACTAGAAATACTGAAATTTTGATACTGTGTTCCGATAGTGTTTATATATATATATATATATATATATATATATATATATATATATAACGTAACGTGGCTACAATGAAAATGTTAGCAACAGAAACAAATTTTGCAAGTTATTTCAAGGTCAATCATTCGCGTAAAGTCAGACTTCCGATTTTTCGCGATTTCCAACACAACGGTGTAAAGATAATGGAAATGTTATCTCCTGAACTGAGCAGTCTGTTCCTATTAAGGATTAAGCTTATTTCCTAAACCCGTTCCTATAAATGTGTCCGTTTATCGAATATACACGTAAAATAAGCACCTTGGATAATACATTCGCAAAACGGATGATAAGCAACACAAAAAAGCGTAAACGTTTAAAAACATGTTTGTGCGTAATGCATCACACATATAGATCAGATCAGGGCGGAAAACAGCAGAAGTCATAGGCGACGTAAATAACGAGTTACAAAGATAGGGTCTCCATATGCAGAGAGAATGGAACGAAGCTGTGTTCGTAATATTCAGAGCTAGTAAGTATCAATACGAAAAATATATGTATATATATAATGTTAAATAGTTTCAATTTAGACGTAAAAATATTTAACAGTGGTTATCGTAATTTTTGTGTTTATGATAGCAGCTAATACCTCACAATGTAAACTTGAGCCTTCCATTGTACTTGGGATGATAAATCTATCCGTCTAGGTATGCTTTGCGGTATTAGCATATAGAAACTAAGCTCGTCCTGTGCAATAAGGCGCCTTCAAGCACGCAAATATTGCGGCGTGTTGTGTGGTACGAAGCGAAAGAAACTGCCAGTCTCTTTGTTGGCACACACCCTCCATATTTTGTCACATGGGTTTTTGTGTACAGACAAAAAAAGCACTACCAATTAAATTTTTATTAGTCACGTTTGTAGAGTAGAAAGTACGCAAAAGTTATTGTAGATGAAAAGAGAACTCAATAATACTTTTCGAATTAATTTTTTGTAGATAAGCTTGCCGCCCATCGAGTTGATTTTGGCGAATCACTTTTATCACTTACTATTACTTACGATAATCAAATGCTCCGAAAGGGTGTCTATGCGCGATAGAAAGAAGCAAAGGCCAGCTGATGACTAATCCAATATGTGTTGTCTCGTAACCAACATAACAAAATACCATCTAGTAATAACAAATTAGTAGTAGAAGTAGGAAATACTGCAAGCTATTGCACGCACACCTATAAGCGATATCTATTATACGCTGAAGCAAAACCTTGTTTACTTAGTAAAATGACATTCGTAATTTGGCTTTCATTTAGATAAGAGATCGGTCATATTAAAATCGTCTTCTTCTGAAAAACTGGTCAATTTTAGCCAGTTTTTCGGTAGTATCAGTACAAATATCGTTTATCAATGTCATTGAGATCATTAATTAAAACACAACCGAAACGACAGAAAAACAGTTAAATAAGCGTACTAGAATAACATCGAATTTAATAGAAATGCACTATTTCGAAGTTGGTAAGTATAGAAAGTCCGCTTTTTGTGAGAGAGCTCAAGTCAGCTCAGGATATTTGCGAAGTCGTCGGAGTATTTTAGCGACCTTTAGCTGGTTTTGAAAAGCAAGGTTAAATGCATAGATGGGTCAAAAATCCCATTGTCGAGGTGGACTAGAGGGTAACGAACACTGAATAAACTCAAATTAGATCCGGCAGTTTCCTGCTGGCCAGCTGACCTTTCTCTACATCGTAACCAAATAATATCTAGCGGTGTCCATCACTGTGGTAAGCTGACCTCTTCCTCTTCTCTAGATCGATCGGATGGACCATAACTTGACATTTTACCTATGTAGCGTTACGGCGAAGCTTGTCTCTATATCAGGGTTATTGTTTTCAGCACAGTTACGATGATTTTGCAAGGAAGGTTAACTTGCAAGTTAAGGCAGGATACAAAACCACCGATCGCCATTTTTACGATGTAAGGTATTTCCAACAGAAAGGGCAAACAAAACTTTTCCAAGAATATTCATGTCTGTGCAGCGTGTAGCCTTGCTGAACTGCTTGGTCTATATGGAACTTTCCTACGTCCCGCATAAATAAAATCATATCAGTCTGCGTAGACCTTACTGTTGATTGCCTCGTTATGTCATATCTTGATGATATACTCTACTGTGTTACAGAAAAGGAGGAACAGGTGAAATAACAATAAAACTCCAATATACATTCTCAGTTATATCAAAATACTCGCAGAATTCGATGGGTAATGTTTTGTCTAATTTGAAATGGCACATTTTGCCGGTCTATAATAATTACATTGGTTTGGTCCTAGAAGTAAATGTTCCTGTCCATGGTCGTGCTAAATTGTATGGCCGGCGATAAACGTCTGCTATAGCAGAACAGAGTGTTGCGCTGACTTGCAGCTTAAGAAACATTCATTAGATACTGCAATAATTGTCATTAGTTGAAAATAAAAATTAACTGGCCACGTAGAGCTTTTTTTAGAACAAATGCAAACAGTAACCTACAAATTTACCATGCCGTTACTGGAGTGCAACATATTACATTTGGAATAAACCGAATATCAATACAGGAATAAAACTCCAGTATATTTGCGGATCTTAGCTACTTTGAAACGAGCCCTTCGTTGCTCGATCGGCTATAAGCAACTGTAAAATAGGCCATCAAGCAGCAAGGGGCTATAAAATTTCCGTAGCTTCTCAGCTCGACCTAGGGGCAATCATTGTTAAACAACATTCTCACGACGCATCTCGGTAATGTATTGAATTCCCCAATGTTAACTGCCACGCTAAGAGTACCCGGGTAGTCGAATGATCGTATTGAAATAACGAAAACTAAGAAGTTTAAATAAAATTTTTAAGGCTAAAGCTGCTTGTGTAGCTGTCAGGACGTTTCATAAGTCTGTTGGAGAATAGCTCTAGCAATATCCACTCCAGTTGGACTCTTAATAAGAACAAGTTTTTGATACTATACCTAAAAAAAAAAGTTAACCCGCGAAGTTGTTCACGTTATATTAAAACAATATCTTATAAATACAAAAATACGTCATCTTGTGCAATATCAATCAAAACCCCCAAGATAACGGTGGAATTTCAAACATATAAAAACCTGGTCGCTAATCTTCGTCAACCGCCAAACCCAGTCACAAAACTGGAGAACAAATCAAAGCGTTACAGAATCGCTGCTATAATATAGAAACATGGCCCTGACCTACACACAACTATCTACCAGAATTCACTAATAAATAGTGTTCCGATCACTGCGGAAAATTCATATATGTACCACAATGACAAAGTGGATAACCGATACAATGTAGCTCAGCGAAAAACCCTGATTTGTATTCTGCCCTTCAGGGTAATCTGTTGAATTTTATGCGTTCGAAATCTTCGCTTTTACAGTTTCCATTTTGTTTCGTTAGCGCTTTTTTCTCATTCGCTTTGTTACATATTTTTTCAAGGGGCTCGGTAAATATGGGGCAACCCTCTTGAAAAATAGCTTAATTGCATTGTTACTCTCGTATTGATGTTATAAACGTGAGCCACCCATTGACGGCTTTTTGCTTCTGTCTATCAGCATAAATAATATTCAATGGATTTCTATAGGATTATCAAGCTGAAGCCAATTGGTTACGTAAGGTGATTGTACGATCTTCTGATCACGATCTGATTGACGCTTAGTTGAAGAAGCTTGCACCAGCAGTCGCCCGATTATAATGTACGAGAGTGACATTTAGCTTTTGCAACGATTATTCGTTCTACGGTTAGCGTCTCCGCAAAATGGATGCCTGTCACTTTTAGAGACAATATCAAGCGTTGGCTGAATACTGTTCGATGAATCGTTATCACGCTGACATCCGGAACATGACCTATTGCCTTCGGCGTACTACCTTCGATACTTGACAATTGCCGATACATCTGACGAAAGGTAAGGACACAACGGTAGTGTGAAAGGTTGGACGTGCTGTCGCTTTCGATAAAGCCTGGACATGTTTTACCTGGACTGTTGTAACTGTACACCGTTGAAGTCTTCATTATGCAAATGAAATGAGGCTACCGCTTTTTTCTGCATTCGCATACGACTTCGAGCCCCTGCCAGTGAAGTCGCATGGGCTCGATGCAGTGTAAGATAAATCACGATCACACGTGAATGTTTTCTGCTAAGAGGACACAATTTCGTTTAGCATATACGTAATGCGCTGAAAGTCACGGCAGAATTATACGGAAGTTAAACGCTGTTTTAGATACGCCAGCCTGTATTTTTTCTCGTTTTCTGAGGAACGAGTCAATTATAAGCTAAGACCAAAAAAATACGAGAGTCAACAACAAAAATATCATTCTTCGGCGGAAGACATACGAATACTGCCGTATTAAAAAAAAGTTGCATATTGTTTATGTTAGTTCAACTTGTATGTCCATCTATTGTTAGCTAAGTTTAGTCGCTGATGGACTGTCAATTACAATATATAATATTCGATCACGTGCTGATGTTTTTTCACTGTAAAATATTTTTGTGTGTGTGTGCGTGCGTGTGTGTGTGTGTGTGTGTGTGTGTGTGTGATTTATAAACCATTTAACATACAAAATGGTGTGAAATTAAACAAATCTTGTCGCAAACGGGTCTGAGCAAGTTTTAGCTAATTGCCAAATGAGGATTTCTGCAATTGGATGCCCTGTGCATGGTATTCGTATTCGCTAAAAAAAATTCATTATCTCAGGCGGCACTTTTGAGAACCTCAGTCTGGTCATATATCAGTAAGAAATGACAAAAGCTACAAGTTCTATTATGTAATTAAGACAATAATGAGTTTCACTAACTTTTGTCATAAGAAACAGTAATCGGTATGATTGTGGCTGAACTCAGCTTCGAATATTACTATCGGAATAAGCGTATCTCCGACGATACTTGTATAACAACGAAATCAGAGTGCGCGGTTATACACATTACTAACCACAAGGTAATATCATAGTCATATATTTCTTTATAGTTTACGATCACTTCACTGAATTTGTAGGGTGAATGGCAGCTGGATCCAGTTCCCAAAACCCAGCCACTGATGACAAATCAGCAAACCAGAGCGCTAAACCGTCACTAGCTGGGAATGACCCGAAGGAGGAACTAGGAAGCAAGTAAGATAAACAGATGGGAACGTTTCTTTCAGATAGAACATTATCATAGCTTTGTAGGTTATGTATGTGCCTGCTAATATTAGGGACTAGGTTCGAACCCGGGCACAGACAAGCTTCGCTTCATGCATCGAGCCAGCCGCTTAATAGAATTATGTCTAACGGCGCCACCGGACGTATAAACTCGAAACATTAGGAAAACAGTCCTTATGAGAAACCGTAGAAATTCAGCTTCAGTTTGTTACGCGGCATCTCTTGGCTCTTAACAAGATTTCAATAATTATTTCATAATAGTCAGTGTGTCTACAGATGTTCGAGGTCTAAGCTAAATGCAAGTAATGATGTCAGTCGTAGCTGTTTCTGAAGCGAACGTAGCTCGTGATTAGCGTGAGTGCTCCATAAAAACCAGTCTAAAATTGAGGTGTGGAAGATGGGTGCCCTCCTTTCGGATAGGCGTTTGTAGGTGTCCATAAAAATTAACTGCATCTCGTTGACACGGGATTCAAATCATTAGTCACGTTGCAAATTTCCTATGTCTTTTAATCTAAAACATAAACGTATAAAAGCACGGAAAAAGTTCTATCAATAGGTCGAAGTGAAGGCTATCGGTTTCGAATTGAATGTTCTTAGTATTAAGAGTCGTTGCTTTTTGTTTTTAATGTGGTTATTATTAATGGGCATTATTTTCAGAAAATGGGTCTATATCGTCAGTCTCTTTATTGGGGTATTGGTAATACTTACTCTTGGGGTCGGCCTTTTCATGACATTCAAAGGACGAGCCATAACTGGGTACAACTACACAACGGTGGTCCACCATATGAATTCTACCCGTCCTACTACCTTTTCGCCTGTACCTTCGCGTTCACCTAAACAGGATCCTATAGGTGAACCAGACGAGATGAAGACGAGTAGCTCCGGTCAGTCTCGCACTACATTGCGACCCCGGCTTCCATCTGTGTTTTCAAAGACCTCCGATCGCAGTAATACGCCGACCCACAGAGCCACTACAGACATGATAACCAGCAGTTCTACAGAACAGGCTTCCTCTCAGTCTGAAGAGAATACCAAGAATACTTCAAACGAAGTTGATACTGAGCCCGAAAATGATGGCATTAGCAAACCCGAAGGCTCTTCTGAGGGACGTCACGCAACAAACTCGCAGTAACTAACGGACGGTTCTGTTTTACAACAATCGGAGCGAGCTATATCATTTCACTGAATGGATGTGATTGCTTTAATTGAAGTAATGTTTATACAACTATCGGACAAATAAGTTTCAACATGTACACATGTCTCGATGATTTCATGTAAATGAATATCATAATGAACAATACATTTCACTGACTGTTTTTTGAGAACACCATGGTTTTGATCAGGGTTCACGCTCCCGTGACGTGTGTGAAACTCTGTGACTAATCACTGAAACAAGAATCCATTGTCAAAGGCGGTCTATTTAATCAGATAAACCGATCGATAAAAGGATATCAAAACTAAGATTAGTGAACTCCTAACTCAGTTTTAAGTCTCTTAAGTTAGCTACGGAGCAGGGGGTTACGGTGTTCGATGGATTAGTGAAAAACGTAAACTAGCTTTATATTGTTATAATGCGACTATCCTGTAACGGGGGTTATGTTGTCATTCAACAAATATGACGATAACATGAATAGGATGATAACATGAAGTGCATGTCGCTGTATATATTGAATGAAGCCTGGCCTGTCATGGAACACCTGCAAGATCACCTTAATTATCACACTGATTTCGATGCTCTATAGCAGAAATATCAATTTTAAAGCCATTTATAAACAGTCTGTAGATGCCAAATGCGCGTAAATTCTAAATTATCAACAACTCTCGTACTCTGCACAGGCTTACGACTTTTGATTCGAGCTAGGGTTCTCCTACGGCCAGTTAGTCGATGAATTTCGTACGCGAACTTTGCGTCAGAAACTGGGAACATATTTAAAGCAACAAATTCAAGTGTATCATTTATAGGTACTGCAGAAGTGAAATTGCTTTTGGCAACGATGCAAACGGTTTTCTAAAGAAAACAGTTTTCAGGGCTGATCTTACTGTCTTCCTAGGCGAGGGGATACTTCCTAGACGTCAATGTTTACAATTTTGATTGTATAAACTAATAAAAGTAGAAAAAAGCTACTAAACGTGTTTAGTAATTTATTGTTGCAAAGAAATTGAGCTCTGGCTGTCATACCTGACACGTCATTCTGTACACAAATAGTTCCTAATGTAAAGCTAGGTTATCATCAGCATTTAAATTTCACGCCATTAATGTTACGCTGTAATGTTGTATGCCATATCGTTTAGCTAGAAAGATAACAACAAATCATTAGCATTAGGTAACTAGAAACGGGCAGCTCAATGTTTTCTCCAGGTGTCCGAAGCTACTATCAGTGATGTGATCTGACTTTATACAGAAAACAACAATTATGTTTTGATAGGATAAAAGAACGCTTGTGAATAAGTGGTCTGCTCTTCAGGAAGCAATTTATTAAGCAAGGTTTTTTCAATGACAGTTAACAGCATCAAAGTGTAGGAAGCTTTGATTACAAATACCTTGTCCTGATTCATATCTTTTTGCTAAGAACTTATATGCTAAGAAACGCAGCGGAAACAGCCTGTTTACCATCCGTGAAGATCCGAAACCTTACGTATCGTTAATCGATAAAGTCTGAACATTTGATGTCAAAATAAAAAAAATGTACGTCAACTGCGTGAAAATGTAACTACAGGTATTGCTGTTCTGCTGCTTTCATTAGCAGTGACGAGCGAACGGGTTTTTCTCCATAAATACAGTTTTTGAAGGGCAACGAAGCTTAGATCGTTCAGAACACCTAATTCTGATGCAGGGCGACGCACGTAAGCTACTTGTTTGTAAGGTATAGGTACAGATTCGATGAGGGGAGATGGCAAGAAAGGCTTCTCAATGGATGCCTCAACTGTCGTCCAGACAGCGGCACCGACTTCACATAAGGAAAAAGCAAGCCATACGTTACTATCAGAAACAAAACAGAAATCACAAATTTCAATGCTAGAAGCGACCCAGGATCTGAGTAAACTTACAGAACTACAAAAGTCAGAAACGATATATATGTCACAGGTTTCAAAGATAACCACCCAGAAAGCCCAAGTGCCAGAATGGCTTCATGCAACGAGGAACGAGGATCTGGTTAATCGAGCACCAAAAGTTCTGTTATTTGGTAAAATGGAGGACGTAATCGATGAGTGAGTACCTATTTTGATAGCTGTGCCTATTGTACCACGCATAGAAGCACCACTTCATATAACGGCACTAACACTGCATAATACCCTATTTATTTTAAATTTTCGCGCTACAGAAATATGATACCTTTCCCCGCGAAATTAATGGTAAGGGGCAGTTTTAGGTTTATCTCTCGATTTCGAAGATGATTGTTTGTCAAGCTTCAAATCAACTTAGTTAATCATCTAAAACACTGTGCAATTAAAGCATACGGACAGCGGCTTACTTTTTCTTATGACGCTGTGTTATATTTAACAAACAGTGTTAGTATCCGATGTAAATCTATAGGCATGGGCTTGCTATTTCATGTCTATTTTGCATCGATACAGAAATTGGCGCTGTATTCGTTATTTCGAATGTTCATACGGTATTTTTCGATTTATTTCATTAGTTCACGTTCAATCGTTACGAACTCTCAGAAGCGAAGTATCAGCTGACCGTTGTAATGAGCGATAGTCCACAATTGGACGAAGCAAAATCAACGGCATAAAACCGTTTCAAATGTGATTCGTTAAATTGAGTCCGATATTTTCTTGCTAGTCCAGCTGAGTGAACCCAGCTTGGGTGCTTGGTGTTGAAAGTGCGATATAATTGAAGCAGTGCGAGGGATGACCGCAAAATCCGAAAAACTATCGAGTGCTCTAATCCTGCGGGCTAAATTACCCAATACGATTGCTTTCTTTTGCGAGATATGTGGAAAAGAGACTGAAGACCCGAGATCCACCGTATGTGTTCCATGCTCTTGCATATTTGATCTTTCTACGGAGAAAACCGCAGTGACTGAAAGCTTCATATGTGATGATAAAGTTGACAAACGAGATATTCTCGAAAGCAGCTGTAATGAGCAGAGTTCGTTTAGTCAGCTTAATCATAGAAAAAAGCCGCGAATGACGTCCAAGAAAGCCGATGGATCTGCATATGAACATGTTGATAAATTGGTTGAGATTGTTACTGCATCTATGGTGCACCTAGCTAAGCAGTATGAGGAACTTCAAGATTTACGTTCTCGTGTAGAAAAACTAGAATCCTTAGCGAAGAAATTTGTGGAAGAATACCCATCTAAAAGGAGTACATCTAAAAAAGCTCGTAATAGTAGTCCTCCTCGCGGGACTGGCATAGCCCCAAGGATTTCTAAAACCAAAGCCCGACAAAGTGAAAAAGAGGACCATTTCGTTGTAAATACGACAGATCTTAACGCAACGACTGAAGACGCAGGCAGCGCAGACAGGTTAAATTTATAAATGTATAAGAATATTTTTTGCTATTAAAAAGGAGCAGAGGTGAATAGTCCGAGGGCCGGGTGGGTCAAAGAAACCTTAGCATTCTCGTTTTAGGAAAATAGCACTATATTTATAACGAGTAACCCCATAAAATCGGCTGGCATTTTATATTGCTATATATCATATTATACATACAGACATGTTTTGCGATGTCTGATGTATATTGCGTGATACCCCGCAATGTTTGACACAAGCAGAAGTTCCTGTATTTAGTGCCATAGGACCGTACTTAAAAACTTTGTCACGTAATAACTCTGAGGCAATCTTTTCCGGTTTATTTTTATAGGCGTACAAGGCTGATTGCGACGATTGTGCTCCTGGTTGCTGTTGTGATGTTCCTTGTAGCGGCTATGTACGTAGCATGCTACTGATAGAAATGTGGAGAACCTGTAAGAAAATATGGGGAACCTATTCAAATTGGTCTAGAAGTTAAATTTTGTGACAGACTGATGTCTTGATTTTGACAGACTTATTGTATATGTGCGATTACGTGCCAGCCTTTGCTTCGATTGAAACACCTTGACTTTAACTGTTATCTGCCTCAAGCCAAAATTACCTCTATCGAGGTAAATGGTTACTAGCAACAGTCAGAGTACAATAATTATATCCATATGTAGCATTAAACCTGAATTACAGTCTGAGAGCGGCTACAATAGATAAATATAGTTACTCCCCTTGATTTTCAAGTATATAGACATATTTATTTCGTACAAGCTAACGTACTATTGGATACCAAGAAGTAAATCTTTGTTCAGTTTGGATAATCAATGAACGACAAGGTTTAATAGCTTGCCGCTGTTAGACTGTCAGCCATTGTGAAGAGTATCTTTTGTAGTGTTTTACATTTTTTAATCCTATTGTAAGAACGGGGGCATGATATATTGAGTTGTATGTTCTTAAACGTACTGTTACAACGTACCCCTCCGCGTTGACTTTTCAGTTCTTTGCCGAAGATATTGTCATCGCGTAATTAAATATAGTTGTAAACGAAGTGTATTTCAATCGAGGAGGTATTATTTGCTCACAAGTTTTAACGTTCCGTCGAGGATAGATATCGGCGTCCCATAGTCTCTAGTGCCCCTCTGACAATTGACCTTATTTTGGACAGCGGCGCCTTGTAGATAAACATCCTGTAGGCGAGCTTACTCGCATACAAATTTTCAGTGTCATTAAGGTGCAATTAAGAAAGCTACGAGCCGAGTAGCCCGTAGTTTTGTATCAAACTTAGGGCAGAACAGGCACGGTAGTCTGTCAACGATTCTAATTTACCTAGACGCAACAACAAACACTTTGAAAATCGTATTGTTTTTATTGCAGCATAAACTTTTATAGATCTGCTAATCCATTAGTTGTACATTACTGAAATTGTTAATAAAAGTGGAAGCAATCTGCGTGCAATTCAATTCACTTTAGTTCTTCCTAAAACCCACGGTTCAAATATTAAAGGCAGATTGTCAGCCTTGCTTTCGTTTGGTTGATCGGTCACCCCCCAAAAAAATTCTTCATGAAGTCAATGGGCGTTGATTGGCTTCATAAGCAGTTTACACATGAAGCCAAGTACCGGCTATCCGTTTTAAGTAGAATGGCATGCTAGGACACGAGTGAAATAGATGCGGTAGTTCTATGGGAAGTATGTGCACTTTGGCGAACTTCATTCCTACAAGGCTACATGTCACTCAGCTGTGTTAAGCACGTGTGCAATTCCATTGACAGATTATCACCGGCGAGGAACAAGATACCGTTACGCGCAAACCTTATTAACGTCTTCATGTACATAAGAGAGCATCGTTTGAGATATTTGTGCATTGAACATCTTAAGTACTTGACGTGAAACAACGATCGACGTGTTAGTCGTAAATTGTAAGTTTGTGCCCAATCCCCACTTTAACTTCCTGTTATTCAGGAGTACTCCGCATTTCGTTAAGATTAAGTGGTACGAACACTTTAATACAATGTCAACCTACAAATAAATATTGTAGGCAGTTAATGAGTGCTGCATATACGAGCGTACAGCAGCTAGCTTCTTTGCGGATACACAAACCAAATGGTGGGGTTGGATTCGGCTTTTCTTCAAGCGAGAGTTATTCAGGGGATTCAAAGGATTCCTGTAGAGATCATTGCAGCTATCGAAGTCTTGCTTGTAGTCGATTTTCCTAGTGTATAACGTTTTAAAAGTTGCATAAGCTCTAAGAGTGTGTATATATATATATATATATATATATATATATATGTATATATACATATAGTACTAGAGAAACGCCATTATTTTTAATCCGAATGTTAAACTTAGTATTGCAAGGTCATGAGTACATAATATTTTGAATTGATGTAAAAGTTATTTCTCTTTTGATAATGGGATATATAGGACAGGTTACAAAGTTAGACCATATTAGAAATTCGGCAACGGACCGTGGTCGTTGAATCTAGGTGCGATGTTTTAGTATGCTGTTCTTGTAGAAGTTTTGGTAATAGCGGAATACAGGCAGCATCGAGTATATGATTTCCAGCCTTCTATAGTTAAAATATTTGACTGTCTCACAAACGAAATAATAGCAAAGAAATATCGACACATCACAGAATTTTTTTTTTGCAAAACTTCTGTAGATTTCCAATAAAGTGGGTCGAACCCCATAGAAGAAACATAATAGATACATGATTGTAGATATACAGTTAATTCTTGTATTACAAACATTATGTTGATTAATATGGTAATGGATTTAAATAGACGGATGACTTAATGGTGGCTAAAATATAGCTAAACCATAAAATGTACAGCCATGTTGCCATGATTATAAAATTGGAGATACCATTAGAATGGCATCTCCGATTTTATAATCATAATTAAGCCCATTACTTTTTCGTAATAAACACTTCATGTATTTCATGCTCATCCGTCAACTACTCGTCGAAGGAATCATCGGATCTAGTTTTTTACTGTTTTTTTTTTTACTGATGTACTGTTTTTCAATTGCCAACGTAATCAAAATATTCGATATGAGGTAGAATGTAATTGTTAATATCAAGAATGGAAATCGCATACGCTGATGGAGTAGAATTATTTGAAAATAAAGTCAGATGGCGGCATACTAATCTTATTTTTCTAATTTCTTATATATATATGTATATATATATATATACGTAATGTATATATATTCTTACACACCAGGTACGGGAAACTTTAAAAAAGAAGGAAAAAAGTTTTCGTACACGCTTACTAGAGCGAATCTTTAGTTTCGAACAAGCACCGAACGAATCTATTATATATTCGCAGATTTTGCACTGTTTACTAGCAGTTGGTAGCATTCTAGTACTATTAGATATGGATCAAGGTTCAATTGGAGTGAAGCCTGCGAGAGAAATCTAGAATTAGCAGGGTATGGTCTCGGCAGAAATACGCCCAATTTGGGGACGAGACTCGTGCTCAATCAACTAGAGTAGGTACCTAAAAGTATTACGTAAACCCTTTTAAAAAAAATTGATGACAAATGCGTTAAAGGTACTCTTTGTCAAGGTCAGTGTAATAGAATGGTTTTTATTAGTTGATGAAACATAGCCCGATCTTGACACTGAATACAAATGGGTATAGCTGGATCAATGAACTATGCAAGGTAACATCGAAGGAATTATTACTTCTGGAAATTTTGAAACAAGTGGGAACAACTAATTAAAAAAAAGAACCTGCTGTAAAGCATAATAGGATAGTATTTCAATGCTGGACGGTAGTTTACGATAAAAAAGTGTACAGATTTTACTCAAATCAGCGTTGACTATGTTTAAACGAAAATATCAATAATTAGTGCATTATTAAATGATTTGTCGATTTCGAACGGTGTTGTTTTTGAGGTAAGGGTAAAATTACGCTTAGGTTTTGACTAGTGCAATGAATCGACTATCGTTAATGCGAAGACCTAAATAAACAAACGGGAAGGAAATGATTGTGGGTATATAGAGTTAGCTCTATAAATATCGTTACAAGGTTTGCCTCGTTTATCAATTGTAAGAGCTCGTAAATGAAAGGAATGGGGCCATAACATTTTGAAAGCAAATGAATAGTTTGTGAAATTTGCAGCCACGCCAACCTTCAACAATCACGAAAGTGAATGGATAATCAACACTTAAATAGCACTTCACGAACTTCGTCAAGCTGTCATTTGCACTCTCGTACTTAATGAAAAGGCGGGCCTCGTACATCGAAAAATGACTGTGCCTGCAAGCGAGTTTTCTTAGAATCCTGTTTGTTGATTGGCGTATCGAAATTGGTACAACCATTAAGCTGTTACGGGCGTATCTGGCGGACTTAAAACTTTTGAAATACACGCCGCTAGCAGACGAAATTGGCTATTAAATACTTTTGGAAGCTCGTGCGGTTTCTTTAGAAGAATTAAATTCTGCAGGAAAAATGTCCTGTACTCTCGAAAATCCATGTTTGTTAGTTAAAATCTTGTCCTTTGAAGGCCACAGCGTTCTGGAATTTTATCGAAGTTTAATCGAGACATTTGGTGAAGGGGTCTTAAGCAAAAGCATAACACGTGAGTGATGTGGATGAAGATAAACACGTGAATGAATTTCAAGAATAGAGATTGTGTCGAAAACCAATGAAGAGACGACCAGGCATCATATCGTGTCTTCAAATCAGAATTAACAGTAGATCAACGATCAAGCAAGGAGTCCAAATATTAGATAGTTGTTCCTATCATTTAAACAACACCACTTCGAAACAGCAGTACACCACAGACTAGGCTTTCAAAAATGCAAAGTTACGATATTTTCACTTGGTATATCACCTCTGATCTAGATTACACGCTGCTTGGCCGACACAAAAGTTCCAAAGAGTACTGCTTCTAAATTGTTGATCATCAAGATGTTAAACTGGAAAAATACTATCAACTTAATATGCACGAAAGGCTAATGATGCCCATGGCTTGACGCTTGGCCTCAAGGCGAAGATCTAAGTCGAAATGTTTGATATATTTACGTTTATTTGAAGAGTTAATTCGTTTAAGATAGCCGGCTTAGCGCCAAACATCGATGTTCATTTAGAGCAGCATCCGCTAGGTCATCATACATAGATGCGGTCTAAAAAATTGGCCTCTGTGACAATCGACGCATCTTTACCATTGAAGAGGCCAAAAGATAACAGTAGAAGCGGAGTATGGAGCCACCATACGGAAAAAGGCCGAAGCCGATTTTATACACTGAGCAAACTTGCTATAGTATATGTGAAATGATGCTTAATTTAAAGCCGTAATTTTTTAACCGCTGCCGCAAAGGCAGGAACAAGATTTACGCCAGTCATAGCTTAGCAAACTGAATTCCGTGTTTGCTATCGTAGCATATGTTACATCTCAATGAGCGTGAACGATTTCTTTTGCGTTTGACAATAAGAACTGTCAGGCTCTATGCGACTGTGTGACGGAGAAAATAATATAGACACGCCATAAGCATTGAGCAGAAAGCCGGACTGGTGTCAGTCTTTTAGCCATTGATTAAGAACTTATAAGAGAGAAGCGTGGTTCCTTCCAACTTCGTGAATCAGAATTTTTTCTTGGAACACAGTCAATTCTCATTAACCTTAAATTTCTTAGTTTTGGCATATCGTGAGACTGTTGAAAACCGTTACGCATTTCAAAACAATGCTGTGAGACCTATCCTAGGAGTTGTAAAAAATAAAGGATTATATTTGTTTACATTTCGGGGAATAATTCCAATAGTCTATGGCACCGTAGTCGAATGAGCATCACCCTATCTTGCCAAGAGCAGACATGCTGCAAATTACAGAGCTTGCCTGCATGACAGCGAATGCGCATTTGCTACCGTCCTGCTAATACTCTGAGCACCCAGACACATAAGCGAATTAATACAAGGTTGCACTAACCATCAACGATCTATGAACTGAAAGCTTCGGGTACCACTGTTCGTAAGAGGTAACCACAAGGATTGGCCGGCACGCATTCGGCGAGAGCTTGCGGAATAAATCGAGCAACCATTTCAAGAGAACCACGGGATAAAAAACTCAACTATTGAATACAACGACGATCGAAATCTGATGATTTCCCTAGGATTTTTACTCATAATAGCGATGGTCTGTACTGGTCTAGTTGTTATATGCCTTCAAAAAAAAGGAGCCCAAATATATTTTCGCACTCTAATATGCGGAAGATTCATAGTGGACCGTTAACTCATCAAAGAAAGCGCAAGAAGATTAGCTTTGATGATCTTCGGATTCTTATCGAACTAGCGCCTTGAGGAGCTACCACGGTTAATACTTCCTCAATCTCCTGCATTACAAAAGGAACTCTACAGTGTGTGGTCTTTTCCTCTGTTTAACCCTTTAGGTTTTGAAATTTTCAGCCTACCTAATTTTGGACGTGTTGGATTGTTT